GGTAATCCCGTTCCTAGGTATACCTTTCTCTCGGGCATGTATTCGATCAGTATGACCTGCTCCAGCTCCTCGACAGTTGATTTGGTCGCATCGGACTCTTCGGTAACGATGAAGGTTCGAGGAGTAAGGAAATCCTCTTCTTCATCTTTGATTACCTGTTGCTCCAATACCGTCGAGGCTGGGGGCGGTGATTGCTATTTGGCCTCCTGCTTACCTTTGATGCTCGATTTCTCTGAGGTCGAAGGCTCTGGTACAGGCGTCACTTCATCGACTGCAAACATTTCCTTTGTTGCATGTTGCTCTCCGTAGACCGTATTCACACCATTCTTCGTTGGGAACTTCATCATCTGATGAAGAGTTGAAGGTACCGCCCTCATGTTGTGTATCCATGGTCTCCCGAGGAGTGCATTATACCTCATGTCTTCTTCGATGACATGGAATTTGTATCTTGTATGGTCCCGGCTACGTTGACTGGCAGGATTATCTCCCCTTTTGTTGTTTCGCTTGCCATGTTGAAGCCATTTAGGACCCGGGATGCAGGTACAATCTGATCCTGTAGGTCAAGCTATTCTACGACCCTCGATCTGATTATGTTCGCTGAGCTACCTGATCCACTAGAACACGTTTAACTTGAATTTTGTTTAAAAGGATAGAAATTACCAGGGCGTCATTATGCGGCTGATATATGCCTTCTACTTCCTCATCATAGAATGATAAGGCGTCCTCGGGCATATAGCTACGAGTCCGTTTTTCTCTGGTGATCGACACCTTGGTGCGTATGAACACAGGTCCTTGCGAGACATCGACACCGCCAACGATCATGTGGATTACATGTTGTGGCTCTTCCTGCTCATTTTTTCTTGCATCTCTCTCCCTGAAGTGGTTTTTAGCTCGGTCACTGAGAAATTCTCGAAGGCGATCCTCTTTGAACAACCGAGCTACCTCCTCCTTTAGTTGCCTGCAATCTTCGATCCTGTGGACATGTGTTCCATGATACTTACACATTAGGTTTGGATTCCTTTGAGAAGGGATCGGTTTGTATGGGCCTGGGCCACCTGGTGTCTTTGATTCTTCCAATAGCTGACACGATCCCTGATGCGTCTACACTGAAATTATACTCTGACAATCGAGGTGCCTCCGCGGGATCGATGTGTTTATCGAACCTGCTCTTACTCATGAGTCCCTGGGAGTTTTGACCTCGATCGTTTCTCTGATCATTCCAAGGAGCGTTACGGCCCGAACCGTTGTTTCTCCGATCGACATACGGCTGATACCGTTCTTTGTTTGACCTCGACTCCCTGTCTATATCCCTCGGGGGCTTGGCTGCCGATCTGTTAGGATGAACTGAACCTGAGTGGGATCCCAACTGGTAGTCCCCGACCCTAATCTTCAATTGGTAATGGTTATGTACATCGGACCACGTCACGGCTGGATACTCGATCAGATTCTGCTTTAATTGTCGAGACGCAATCGAACTCCTTTCATTCAAACCCTGCTTAAAAGCTTGTACTGCCCAGTAATCCAAGACCGATGGTAATTCCATTCGCTCCATCTGAAACCTGGACACGAACTCCCTCAACATCTCGTCGTTCCTTTGTTTTATCTTGAATACATCTGATTTCCTCGTTGCCACCTTTATGGGCTCGGCGTGTGCTTTCACGAAAGTGTCTGCTAACATAGCAAACGAATCAATAGAGTTAGGAGGCAAGTTGTGATATCAAATCATGGCTCATTTCGACAGTGTTTCCTTAAACTTTTTTAACAACACGGACTCGATCTCATCGTCATTCAGGTCGTTTCCTTTAATCCCACAAGTGTACGAGGTAATATGTTCATTAGGGTCGGTTGTCCCGTTATACTTGGGTATATCGGGCATGCGAAACTTTTTTAGGAATGGGCATTGGAGCCGCGCTTTGAGGAAATGGTTTTTGTATGAACTTTTTGGCATCTAAACCCTTCAAGACTAGAGGTGCCCCCGGTATCTGGTCAACACGGAAGTTATAAGTTTCCACCTTTTTGCCATTGTCTTCAATCTTCTTTTCCCCGGACTCTATCCTCTTGGTGAGCTCTTCGAGCATTCTCATAATAGTGGGGTCAGTCCTCGAGCCATTTTCGTTTGACCTCTCCGGCACCGGTTCAGCACGTCGAGTATTTTGCGGTTCAACTATACTCGGAGTTTTATTCTGACTCTGAAGTTGAGCGATGGCGATTTGCTGATCTTGCAGCATCTCGAATATCACTTGGAGGATGACTCCCCCATCTCCTATTCCTGGTGTTCCTTGACCCAGATCAGGCTTCTCTACGTACACTCCCTCCGGGGTCTATGCTTAGATCTGTATTCAAAGCAATGTGCGAACTAATATCAACTAGCTCCACGTTTGGCACTTCGCCAGGGTTTATCGGTGATACACCGACCCCTACATTGTTGTTTTCCCCATGAAATCCAAGACCTTCGTTGTCATGAACAGGTGCATTTTGCGAGTTTGACATGTTTAATCCTGAGGATCAGAAAATCTTGACAAGAAAAAGTGTAAAAATAACGTGTGTAATGAGAATCAGTAATGAATAATCACTATTATCTTTAGCCCCACGGTGTGCGCCAAACTGTTTACCTCGAAAATACGAGTAACAGTTAAATTTGGATTGTGGTTTTAAAGATATGTGATTTAGTTCAATACCAATTAATAATCGAGAAATATAAAGTATAGATGAAAGGAATGAATGAATCAAACCAGTGTTACCGAACAATATCGGCCTCGAGCTTGGTGACCTCGAGATGAACCAATAACAGTAAAATAAGAACAGTAACGAGAAAAGACAAGTTTGATGAATAATGAGCCAGAAAAATAAGATAGTATATTCTTTGCCAATGATTAGATGATCTTTACAAATGATTGGGGTCCCCTTTTTATAATACGGGAATCCTAAATAAGGTACATTTCTATTTACAGTAAGGAATCCTATTGGGACAGCTGTCTAACCGTCTAGTACGGAATCGTACAATTCTATTCCGGGATTTGCACCATAATTTTGGGGATGTGGCAGGAATCTCGCTCATTCCGTTAGAAATCCATAACGATATTATTTCAAGGTCGAGCATACTCGGCTTCAGTATTCATTGTACTTCGATCCCCGGGTATTGCATCCTATCTACGAGCTCGAGTCTGGTCCATCGGGCTCGAAATAGATCTTGCCTGAACTCGGTCTTAAGACAACCCCTCGAGCCTATCGATCGAAGGCATATGATATTGACCGTATACAAATAGTTTAAGAAGTAGAAGCAAATTTTTATAGTCTTTCATTTGTTCTTGAAGAGTACACGTTAAGAAAGATAATATTTTTTTCCCCATTTGTAATGCATCACTTTAAGATAAAACTATACGGTATGAGGAAATATTTTTCGGAAAATATTTTCTAATTTTTTCATATTTGGTTGGCTTAAATATTTTGAAAAATATTTTCTTCGAAAAATTGGAGGAAAATATTTTCCTTATCAGGAGAACGGAAAATATTTTTTAAAATTTTTCTTCAATCTTCCCCACCCTATTCCCCATCCCATCAACCTACCCCTACACCCCCACCCACTCTCACCCCCCAAACCACCCTACCCCATCCCTACCATCCCAACCCCCACCCACCCTCACCCAATTCAATAGAAATATTATTAAGAGTACTTTCTTTTTCATTTCAACAAAATGAGTATTTTCTTTTTATGATGTAAAAAAAAGAGTTTTTCTTTCATTTCAACAAAATGATGTAGACAAAGTATTTTCTTTCATTTCAAAAAAATGAGTACTTTCTTTTCATATTGTAGAAAGAGTACTTTTTTTTCATCCAAAAAAATAGTATTTTTTTTAATTATGGAGCACATATTTCAACGTTTTCTTCCTAAAATGAATACTCATATTTTTTGGAAGAGTAACTTAAGTTTATAATATGAATATATATAATAGTCAAATTTGAATACATATAATGAAGAAGAGTATATATTATTCCAGTTAAGCTTATATATTTCACTAAATATTCTGAGCAAAAGGAAAATTATAAGTTGTACTTGAAAAAATATTACACTTATATATATATAGGTTAATCCATATTCAACCCGCTTATTTAACACCCAACCCATTTTTGAACCGCATGGAATATGGGCGGGTAGAGATCCAACCCGTTTTTGCTCAACCTATTTTAACCCGCCCAAATCCAGCCCAACTCGTGCCGCCACTAGTTCGAACGTGTGAAAAGCAGAGGCACAAATGCCCAGTAAGGAGGTGTGAAGGTTGGCCTTGAAGAGCCCGAGGAGAGATAGAGATAGGCCGAAGAAATATTGAGGACAGGTGATTAGGGAAAACGTGGCGATGCTCCACCTTACTAAGGACATACCCTTTTATAGGAAGTTGTGGAGGTTGAGATTTACGGTAGAATGTTAGGTAGCCGAGAGTTTACCTTATTCATACCAGTAGTTTTACTGCATTACTTAGTGTTAGTCTTGTATAGTCTTATTCGTATATTTTTGTTATTACTTGTTGTTACTTTCGCTTCGATTTTCTGATTGGTTTGTTGATATTGCTGCTTGTTATTACTCTTTCCTTTTCCGTGTGCCTTTTATCCTGTTTATTTTTTAATCTTTCCTTAGCCGATGGTCCACCAAAAATAGCGTCTCTACTTTCTCATGGTAGTGGCAAAGACTGCAAACATACTACTTTCTCCAGACTCATCAGTGGGATTATACTGGGTTTGTTGTCGTTGAACTCTGAGTGAAATAAAAATAAAATGTAACAAAAAAAATCTCCGCGTGAGGTGGGGGTAGCTTGAGTATTGGTGTTTAGTTTGGTACAATATTAACCATAGTTAGTTCCAAACCCCATGTGATGACTCTTCCTAACCATGTCTAGTTTAATTACATGTGTACATCTCTGGTTAAAGTTATAACTCACATACAAAAATAGAAAAATAGAAACAAGAAAAAGTAAAATTAACCCCAACATTTAGAGACAGAGAAAGAGAGAGAGGCGTTCAATGTATTAAAGCTAAAAAATAAAAATAAAAAGAAACAAACAAAAAGCCAAACAAAAACTAAGGATCTTCTCTACTCTTTTTCTCTATGCTCTCTAGATTTATCCTACCTTTGATTTGCTCGAAACCTTAGCTCAAAAATCTGGTATGTATATGATCAAATAATCTTTAAAAATCAAATCTTGATCAAATTCTCACACTGTCTTGTACCGATCTTATCTAAAAAAGAATCTTTTTTTTATTCGTCGAATTTATTTTTGTTATTTTATTATGGGTTGATTTTGATTGCTGATTTGAATTGGGATTGATCGGAAGTTTAATGGGTGTGATTTAAATTCATTCAGTATTGGAAGTTTTTTTCTGGGTAATTGTTGTTCTTGATGTAAGTAACTTATTTAATTCATGTTGATTTTTTTAATTTTTTGTGAAGTCATATGTATAGTTCTTGGATTGTGGAATTTGTTTGGATTATAAGATTTTAGACTTGAGCAATATATATGATCATGTTTAATATGGTTTGTTAAATGCATTTCAATTGGAAAAAAAAGTTGTTTATTAGTTTGTTTTTTTCTGATGTTCTGTGACAGCTTAAGAACTGGGTTTCAGTGTTTTTGTTATAGTTATGTGCATTGGTATGAGGTCAACACATTTGTGTTTTTTAAATATTTGTGATTCTGAGAAAGAAAGATTTTTTTTTGGCAGCTAAGTTATGGCATCAATGGTTGCAAAGGCATGTGCTACGACGTCGGCTCAATATTCACCGGCTTTGACAGTCTTGGAAAAAGGGAGTAGGAATAAGAGGAAATTCAGGGCGGATCCACCTCTAGCTGATCCAAATAAAATAATTTCTTCTCCTCAGTTTGAGTGCACGAGTTTTGAATTTTCAGCGGACAAATTTGGAATGATCCCTAGTCATGAGTTTTCGAATGGTTGTGATATGTGTAGCTTGAAGCAAGACGGCTCAGAAAGTTTGAAACTTGACCTCGGATTATCTTGCAGCGTAGGATCATCTGAAGTAGGTCCAAGTGAGCCTAGAGAGGAGGAAGTTGAAACAACTGAAGAGTTCCATGATGCCGATTGGAGTGATCTTACGGAATCCGAGCTAGAAGAGCTTGTCTTGAGCAACTTGGATACAATTTTCAGGAGTGCAATTAAAAGAATAATGGCCTTTGGTTACAATGAAGATATTGCCGCAAAGGCTGTTTTAAGGTCTGGTATTTGCTATGGTTGTAAGGACATTGTGTCGAACATAGTGGAGAATACATTGGGTTTTCTTCGTAGCGGCCAAGAGATTGACTTGTGCAGGGAGCATTATTTTGAGGATTTGCAGCAGATGGAAAAGTATGTGTTGGCTGAATTGGTCTGTGTTCTGCGAGAAGTTAGGCCTTTCTTTAGCACTGGTGATGCAATGTGGTGCTTGTTAATATGTGACATGAATGTATCTCATGCTTGTGCGATGGAAAGTGATCCTTTGAGTAGTTTGGTTGCTGATGGGAATGAAAATTCCTCTGCTTCTGTGCAGCCTTATTTGCAATCCGAGGCCAAAAGTTGCGAATCCAACAATAGAATTCCCTGTAAGACAAATCCTTCAGTTGCTTGTGCACATTGTTCGTCTGAGACTTCCAATGCCGCTTCTGTAACTTGTGGGCATAGCTTTCAGTTGGAGGCGTCTGCTATGACAGGAGTTCATGATGTCAAACCCAAATCTTCATTTGCCCCGAGTGGAATTGTTTCAGAGAAATATTCTTCAAGTTCTCTGTTTGACACTGTTGATAAAACATTTACGGCAGTTGGAACACCCAATCCTCCAACCGTCGACGAGGAGTTTGTTGGTAGTCGAAAGTTGTCTGGGATCACCAAAAGAGAGTACATACTTAGGCAGAAGTCCCTACATCTTGAGAAACATTACCGTACTTACGGTTCTAAAGGAGTCTGTAGGAAACTCAATGGTTTTGGTGGTTTAGTTTTAGATAATAAACTTAAGTCCATGGCAGATTCTGCCGGCATGAATATAAAGAATGCTTCATCAAAGATCAATAAGACCAGTTTTGCTGTGACTCAAGATAATATACACCATAGTATCTCAACAAATAATGGATTTTCTTCAACATCAGTATTTGGGTCCGATAATGTCAATGTTTCTGTTCCATTACCTAATGCAAATATCCCTTCTTCATTACCGCAAGTGAATACATCACCTGCATTGCCCGTTGCTGATACTGAGCTCTCGCTCTCATTCCCTACCAACTGCAACATCACCCCGATGCCTCTTCGTTATAATGCTGAGGGCGCTGTTTGTTCTCTTAATATGATTCCAAATGAAAAATCTATTGCTCAATGGGTTCCTCAAGACAAGAAAGATGAAATGATTTTGAAGTTAGTTCCAAGGGTTCGGGAGTTGCAAGGTCAGCTCCAAGAGTGGACAGAATGGGCCAATCAAAAGGTTATGCAAGCTGCTCGTAGACTGAGTAAAGACAAAGCTGAGCTTAAGACACTTCGGCAAGAAAGAGAGGAAGTGGATAGGCTTAAGAAAGAGAAGCAGAGTTTGGAAGAAAATACCATGAAAAAGCTGGCCGAGATGGAGAATGCCTTGTGTAAGGCTAGCGGACAAGTCGAACGAGCTAATGCTGCTGTTCGTAGGCTTGAAGTTGAGAATGCCGTACTAAGAAGGGAAATGGAAGCTGCCAAATTTCGTGCAGCAGAGTCAGCTGCGAGCTGTCAGGAAGTATCAAAGAGGGAAAAGAAGACGCTTATGAAGTTCCAGTCATGGGAGAAGCAGAAAGCTATATTTCAGGATGAACTTATAGCTGAAAGACGAAAGCTGGTGGAACTGCAACAACGGCTGGAGCAAGCTACAGATGTTCAAAACCAGCTCGAGGTATGTTTACTAGGGGATTAAGATCATAAATTCTTCACAAGATGCTTCTTGCCAAAAAAGTTTAGGCTTTAGCTAAGTTAAAAAGACTAATGTCTAGTTATGTACTAGGACCTTAACCTTTAATTCTTAAAGAGGAATTTTTTTTGCATAACTTAGGTAAGAAGATGCTAATTAACAAGCTTTATGCTAGTAAATTGTGTTTAAGGTCATATACAATGCTCAATAAAGTCGGTGAATAAGTGGTATTGTGGTAGCTTGGCTCTCCTCAGTCTGACATGTGCATGTCATTGGCAAACTGACATCTCTGTAGAAGCTACATGCAATCTGACTTCTGTGATGGGAATTTGGTACTTTGTTGCCTACTTGACAGATAAACCTAATCATGAGAAATATAAATGAACCTCTTGTATGTGTTTGCTTAAAAATGACTCGACACGGTTTTTGAACTTCTCTCTCTCTCTCTCTCTCTCCATTTTCTTTATTTTACTAACTTGTGTAATTTTAGAATCTGAAAACTGAACAAGGGAACTTTTGCCTGCTGGATTCTTTATCTGAGAGTAGCTTGACTCTCGTCTGTGCAAATTTCTATATGTATAAGCAAGAGTTGGGATCAAGAAGCATCTAACTAATGCAAGATCTTTTTCCGCATCTTTTGGCTTTGTTCTGTTAGTAGGAGTGCATAGCATATTTGTGCAGTGCCATTTTCCTCACTTTGTAATAGGGTGTTTTTGAAGTGGGATAGCTTGTTGTCTAAGTCGAATAGCTGTGCTGACAATGGGAATGAGGTATCTCCACCTCTCATAGTGCCTTGTTGCATTTTTATTCATGTGTTGAAATCAATATGCTTTGACATTGATGTCTGATGTGGACATAATGTTTCAGAAGACATCTCATATGATACCTTGATGTGATTAACTTTTAAAGGAATTTATCAAATGGATCTTGAGACATAATGTAGATGAAATGGTACTACGCAGAGTTACAGTAATAGGTTATTGGCACTTGCCTCCTACATGCATCATTGCAGTTGGAGGGCTCTTACAAGATTTTGCAGAAGATTGAATGGATATATTTTTATTTCTTGCTTCACTTGAGACTTCACATTTTCCATTTGTCTCAACTCTTAACATGATATCGAGTCTGTTTCACCCTTGCCAAAGTCTTGGTAAAACCAAAATCAGTATCACAAAGAATACTTTTTTTCAATGAAACATGTTTTTGAAAAGTTTGATAAGGGAGGGATAGCCTTGTGAAAAGGACCTTCTACCTCCACTCATGAGTTTAGGGGTTCGAGTCACCCGAGGGAGTGAAGAGTCACTTTTTGGGAAGGGGTTTTTTGAGGTGGGTGGGGCTATCAAAGAAATTCATGTCTCTGATCAAAACCATAGAACTCTTGCACTTTGTGCTTTTGCCTTTTGATATATGAATTTGCTAACGGCAAACAGTAAAGGGAAGTGGTTGGCTTTGCAGGTCTTTCGTAGATCTTTATACTTTCAACTGATGTTCTTATATTAATGTGATTTCTCCAGATGAGCTATGCTCTTACCGACAAGCCAATGTCTTGCAGGGTAGATGGAAGCAGGAAGAAAAGGCCAACGAAGACTTACTTAGGCAGGCTAGTTCAGTAAGGAAAGAGAGAGAAGAAATTGAAACTTCAGCCAAATCCAAGGAGGATATGACCAAATTAAAAGCTGAAAGTAGTTTACAGAAGTTTAAAGATGATATTGAAAAGCTAGAAAAGGAAATATCGCAGCTCAGACTGAAGACCGATTCTTCAAAGATAGCCGCTCTTAAAAGAGGCATAGATGGAAGCTATGCTAGCAAACTGGCAAACTTTAGAAATGCTTCATTACAAAAGGACACTCAAATGCCTAATATCTCCTCAATGGTGACAGATTTTGAGGAATACTCTCGGGATGGAGGGGTGAAACGAGAGCGTGAGTGTGTGATGTGCTTGTCGGAGGAGATGTCTGTGGTTTTTCTACCATGTGCTCATCAGGTGGTATGCACGACATGCAACGAGCTCCATGAGAAGCAGGGAATGAAAGAATGTCCTTCTTGTAGGAGCCTGATCCAGCAGCGGATTTCTGTGCGTTATGCGCATACTTAAAACGTCACTTCAGGGAATGAGTTAAAGCTATCAAAATAATGATTCATGAAACTTCATAATGAATAATGCATTTGTGTGGCCCCTTTCGGATGTCTGGACAATTATGCTTGCAATATGTGACTGTTTTCAAGAATGAAAAAGTAACATAAAAAAGAAAAGCAAAAAACAAAAAGAGAAAAGAGTGTTAAGTGTGGCCTTTGTAAATCATCTGTTCCCTTTCAAATAAAACTTGAGTTTTCCTCCTTGTTTTCTTTAATATGTGTTTCTTTATCGACCATATGTTTTAAGTGAACTTGGCCAATACTGTGCTCACTATTGCTCTGATTTTTGTGCATTAGAGTGAGGATCTCTCATCTGCAGCTTATGAATGCACTCTTTGTACATTATGTGACACTTTGTATATACTGGGCACTTCAGTTTCTGCACGCTTACATAAAATGATATTCTTGGCCTCTGAGAACCACTTAACAAGGTCTTGGTACCCAGAGTTACCCATGGTACTTGTGCTAGTGACAGGTAGCAGGTATTCAGTGAAATTGTCGCAGTATGCACAAAATGGCAAGGACGTGAGCGTTACACCCGGGAATAAAGCAGCTAAGACACCAGGATACAGAACTGCTAGCGCCACTGAAAATGCTTGTCTCCCCTTTCTCAAGTATGACAAAAATGATCAAACTTGTTACAGAATTAACGAAAACTGGAACTATTATCATCTTCTATTTGTGTATCCCCTTTAGTCATATTACCCTCTGCTGGAACAAAGAGCAACCTACCTTCCCTAAGCACACTGAGCTGGAATGCTGGTGCAATTGGAAAACTCAATGATAAGAATTATTGATATTGTAAGGGTAGTGGTGGCAAAATGGATTAAAAAAAATTTTTATCCATATTATCAACTAAAAATAGGTTGGATAATAAATTTTTTAAAAATGGGCCAAATATGGAGTTTATCCATATTATCCACTTAATAAAACTGATACTTAATGGATAACCAATGGATTTAGCTTTTACATTTGCAAAGACCCAAATTGGGAGTTCCTCAAATTTGAGAGACTAGAAATTCTCCCAAAAGTGATCACATTCAAGAAGCAATGGATAATATGGATACCCATATTATCCATCGGTTAACCCATTTTCTATATGTATTAAATATGGGCAGGTCGAATATTTTATTTATTTTTGCGTTACCCGTTTTCGACGCCCATATATGATCCGCCTGTTTGCCACCTCTATGTAAGGGCTTCAATAATAATGTGAAACTTGCGCATTTAGAAGAGAGTAGAACCCATAAGCTCAAGCTCTTTAAATAGCACCATAAGGAAAATCTAAGGGGCAGTTGGTTTTGTTTCATAATAGATGCAATTGTTGTGCCTTGAAATAATTATTTTTCACTTTGTTTCTCAGGAGTCAAAAATTTCCTGCAGCATATAAATGACTCATTTTTTCTAAACAGCAAGTGATTATTCATTAAATAGCATTAGCACTAAGATGGTGATGAAATCTGTACAACAAAAACAGTATGAATGTTGAACATGAAAGCGAGAAAAGCTCTAGGACTAGTTCTTTATTGTATTACGTTATATTATAAATATTATGGAATCGTCAGATACAAAGGCTCCTCAAATGATAGGCTATTCACTACACTCTATCAGCGAGAATTTGCTCAAGTTCTATGACTGCACTTATCATATAGTGCGCATAGTTATGTGTATTGGTGTAATACATGACAGAATTGATATTCATTTGAAAAATGTTAAACTCCTATGCAAGAATACATATCAAAAAATGAAATTTTAGTGTCATGTTAGATTGTGGAAATTCAACTTTGCAGTTTGTGTCATCCTGCCACGGAAGGGGGATCAAAGAAAGGTAGCTTGCTTCTCCCGTGGATGGATGACGACTTATGTAGTGGTCATCCTACTAGAATGCCTTCTTGGTCGAAGAGCCCCTTTTTGACTAGTAAGGGCGCAGGGAGCAAAAAATGGACGTTTTCTTCTCCTCTGCCCTCTCCTCTCCCAAGGCCAAGGGAGAGACTGCATCCCTTTCCTTCGGTACCTCTTCTACTTTCCAAGGATTATGTTTGAAGCTATATAAAACTGGTTAAACTTTCTTACATTAACTAATTAAGCAAATAAACCAACTTGAGACCAAGAAATAAGCATTTTGCGGCACTATGTCTTCACTACTAAGTCCAGGGATGGGACTTAAAAAAACAAGGTAAAAGCCTGCGTGACCGACAGAATAGTGCATCAGTTCATGAAATCAATTTTAGGTTAATGCAAAGCACCAGGAATTATAGTAATAGTAAATAGAAATAGCTAAGAATGACATGAAGAGACAGTGAATTTCTCATCCAAAAGTACAAATGCTGATTAATCACATGAGGATTATACCAGGGAGCAGTATTAATAAAAGCAAAAAAGCGCAAAAAGCCACAAGGTTCCTAGGGCTTGATGCGAAAAGCGGGAAGTGAAGCGCACAATCCACGACAAAAAAGTGGCAAACATGAATTGATTAAGTACTCTACTAATCAAATTGCAATTTGCAATAACTAATTTCAGTATTCAATATACACTAATGCTGATATTAATCCAGATCACAAAGTTGAGATTCAAAGAACATGTCGTTTCTCGTTGGGATTAGATTGTGTGTCATGCATTGAAGCACATATTTTTATGAAGTGCATGGCGTCACCTGTGAAGTGGTAATCCCACACTTGGTATTGCTCTTGCTTTAAGCGATGAAGCGATGGCTTTTAATAACAATGCTAGGGAGATAGGCCTAGCAGGACATGTGTTATATATCTGGTACAATCCCGGTTGGATAAGCCAGTACTTCCATATACCAGCTTTCACGGGGAGCAACAACGCCATCTTCTGAAGAGTGTATTGCTGCAAAGTTGAAGAACCAGATAGACAATCCATCAGAAAAATGATTAATGAATAGAACTAATAATCATTAGGCAACAGAACACATATATAAATGGAACTTGGATGAAAAGCAGAGACCACCCCAAAAAAAATATATCGGAACATCCCTTACCTCGGCGGCAGATCCACTTGGAGGGGTATGGGTTCACGTGAACCCATGCACCCTCCATGGTCCATGTATAGCACTGCTTTTCTGCTAAAACTACTTAAATTTCTATATGGCCACCCATGCCCAGGAGAGCACCTTGGTCTACTGCGGCCGTCGTGCCCCCCCCCCNNCCCCCCCCAAATGTAGAATCTCCATGCCCTACCTTTCAATTAAAATCCAGTTCTTTTATCTCTTTTTCTTCTTCGTTCTTTTCTGTTTCTTTTGTTCAACTTTTGTTCTTTTCTTTTCTTTTGATCTATCTTTTAATTAATTTCCCATTTTTCTGTTTGTTTTTTCTTTTCTTTCTTTTCCGTTTTTTTTTTTTTTGCCTTTTCTTTCTTTTTCTTGTTTATTTATTTGTTTATTTTGGTAATGACGATGATACGAGTTGAGGTTAATGAAAGGAATGAGAATTCATATCGCCGACCCCAACTTGATTGGGACTGAGGCTTAATTGTTGTTGTTCTTTCTTTTCTTATTTCGTTCATTCTTGGATTTTCAAAATTATAAAACATCGAATACCCATCTCTCCTCTAGCAGTGCACCCATCCTCCTGAATTCCTGGATATGCATCTGCTTTAGCTACAGAAATTTCCAATACTGCAGCAATAGCAGGTATTTATGTTAAATTGTGCCTGTAATAGGTAAATCATGGAAAAGCTCAGTTGGCCTAACAATATCGGTGGCTGAAACATTTAGAGTTTTGCTATCAAATAACCATAATTTTCTGTATTCCTTAAGTCAGTCGAAGGCTTCTACACTGAAGATCTAGTTCAGGCTCCACCCATGATCATCACACAAAAGAAAGCAAGATGATTTGTTGCTTTTGCAACATCTAACAGTCACCAACCACACACAGAGACAGTCCAAGCTTTATAGAAACATAACAGACAAAAGCATTCAGCTAGGTAAATTCAGTACCTCCATCTTGCTCATAATCTCTGGCTGTCAGAGCAGCAAGAACAATCAGGCCGAGCCACAGGCTACGTGAAATCTTCTTTAACACCATTTTACAAATAACACAAGCAAGGTACTATATTATCACTCAGCAATTAGCAAAACCAGCCTGCACGATAGTGAGTTAATCAAAATCTTTGCAAATCAACCGTGTTATATGGAGGCAACACTATACAAAATCTTTGCAAATCAACCGTGTTATATGGAGGCAACACTATACATACCATATTTTGAGGATTCCTCTTCCTTTATTATCACTTCCAGGAACTCTTCCATGGTTCGATATCCTCCTCCTATACTCAGTAAAGGAAAATGACAATACTACGCCAGCACCAGAAGCATATATAGCTCAAAATGATAGTTTATTCTTTCAGGCACTTACCAGGAAGACAAAAGAAGCATCCGCCTAGTGACCTAATCCAGCTTTACACTCGTAAGTCATATCTCTGGTGCTTTCCACCAGATACCTGTCACTGCAAATCATGTCACCGGTAAATGTTGCAGTTGAAATCATGATCTTCACAGAAAGTCAGATGAACTCCTAACAAGAAAGAATTTCCAAAATGAAGCTTATTTGATCTATGAAGTTTCAAATTTTCTCCATATTGATCTTTTTCAATGTAGTAATGACACAATATCCCAAACAGAATGCTGTAGTGGAGATTAATTCTAGGTCTCTTTTGCAGTTTTTCAATACTTCTACTGCAAATGTGAAGTTCTAAGGTCATATATGATCTTATCCCTCGTATCAACACCTATGATTAATCACTCGCTCATAAAAAACCCATCAACAGACAAATCAATAGGATCAGTGAGACAACATAGTCCGCAGTGTCGTGAGTTCAAACTTCCAAGAGTCTATATTCACAAAAATTTTGGCTTATAAGCTCCTTTTAAAGCGTTCTTTATTTATGGATCTCTATAACAACCAAAGTATATGCTCTGTATCGCACATCAAAAGGGAGATACCTAGCTCGTAGGAGTTCAGCAACTTATTTAATCTCAGATCAACAAGGATAGAAAAACCAAATTACAGTTCAAAAGAAAAAAAATCTCCAAAACTTGAGATTAATTTTATATTTGAAAGAATTGCAGTTGTTTACCCACACAGAACATAATCCCCCAGGAAACCCCCCCTCCTCCCCACTTCATTTCCAATTCTATAAACAGTGACCACCCCTTTAGAACCAAATTGAGTGTTTCCAATTCTATAAACAGTGACCGCCACTTTAGAACCAAATTGAGTGACCCAGAAAAGGGGGATAAGGGACAAAAAACGATAAATGAAACGCTAAAACCAGCAACCTGACAGAACAGCAGTCCATTTGAACATGTCTGTCATTTAGATGGAGTTTAGGCGGTACCTTTACGGAATCATCATTCTTAGATCACTCATCATCTTAGATATTCCCAGACAGTAAGCTCTGATTCTTGATGAACTGAAGTGGTGCATTTTGCTATACATAGAATAAACTGCCAAATCAAGACATCTCAACCAACTGCAACAGCCAACTCCTGGGTTTCATCAGAGCTGGATGTGCCAACATCAAGGTTATTAAACGTGCCCGCATGCACATTTCTAACATTTACATGATGAACCAGCTCATTGATCATTTCATTGTATGCTTCCTTTGGAAGGATTCCGGAATTTGAAATGTTAGTTAATAGAGTTAAGAATGAAGCAGAATGGCGGTGGTATCTATACAGGAGATTTTTCATCAACCTCAGATTAAAATGGTCAACTTCAATTCTAGCATCAACCATTTGAAGTAGGATATCTTTAACCATGCAAACATCACTTCTTTTACAAAAACCTGAGAGAATCTGATTATAGGTCTGTTTACTTGGCACTAGACCAACCTCCTTCATTTGGCGGAACAAGGCATATGCTTCTCCAACTTGACCACCAGTAAGTAGTCCACTAATAGCAATAGTGTAAGAAACATCATCTAGTTGGGACTTCTCTGAAGCAGCTTTCTTGATTAAGCTAACAGCTTTGTGAAATTTACCAGATTTTATTAGCCCATTTATTATCACCGTATTTATATGAGAATCAAGCCCAACGTGACTTCTAACAAGTCCATGGTACACCTTGACTGCCTCTCCTGTCCTACTTGACCTGCATAATCCAGTCAGTAATCCGGCAAAGGTATACTTATCTGCTACGAAACCTCTATCTATCATGTCATTGTAAAATTCAATAGCACCAGCAGGATAACCAGCTTTGCAGAAATAGCTAAGGAAAGAGTTACATGCAACTAAATCAGGTTGGATCTCGAAGCCAGTTATGAGCAGAGGTAATTCAACATATTGCTTAGAGAGACAGACAGTTGTAATCAAAGAACAAAGAGTATAAGAATCGGGTGTTAGTCCTTGCTCCCGCAAAAGGAAGAAAGCATTAATTGCATCTTCATACCTCCCCATTTTAGAGAGGCTATCTATTAACACGTTACAAAGAACCAAATCAGGGAAGCATCCTCTTGATTCCATGGTATCCAAGATCCCAAATGCCTTGCTTGGCATCTGGGACTCAAAAAATCCCTTGATCAACGACGTGCAAGTAACAACATTTGCTGAATACCCACTCTCTATCATCTTCTCAAGCAGGTGAGTCGCAGCATCCATGTTGCCAGCTTTACAGTATCCGTCTATTAATATACCCCAAACTCTATCGGATACAGGAACACCCAAAACTATCATTAGACCTAATATTTGTTTTGCCTCTGCTATCCGACCTCCTTTACAGTAACAACTCAAAATCACAGAAAATGTCTCCTCGTTAGGATAATAGCTTTTCCTCAACATAATATTAAGCACATCCTGAAGATTAACCAAATCATTGAGCTTACACAAGTTACACACAGCAATGCTATAAGTTAAAAAATTTGGAACCTGGGTTTCTTTCAAAACTCTAAGTGCCACTTCGACACGCTCAATCTTGAACAATACATCCATTACGATGTTCCTAGAGAAAGTATTTGGAGTATAACCACAACCCAATATTTCCTCAAACGTCTCGAAAACCCTATCATACATTCCACCAAACCAATAAATTCTCAACAAAAACATCAAAGTTTGTGGCTTTATTACACAACCAACCTCCTCCAATTCCTTAACTATCCCTTTCACTGTTCTAAACCTCTGCGTCAACCGAGAAACAATACCAATCATATGGGTCAATGTGGCCCTGTCATGAAAGTAATTATGTTGTTTTGCACACCATAAGAAAAAAGAAAATGCAAGAATGTCAGAACGGCAATTTGATATAGTTTTATGTACAACTCTAGGGGTAAGGATGATTCTTGAGGAAAAATAACTTTGTGGGTCATCAGAAATGTTGGAACTATCTGGAAACTTCTGGTAATATCTAGGGGAAAAAGAACCTTGTGGGTCATGAGCAAAGTATTGAATTTGTGAGCATAGACATTGGAATGAGGCTAAAGATTCCATTTTGAGCATTCGACGTGAAGCAACTCTTCCAGTGGAGAACCATATCCATAACATTTCCAGTATATAATACCAAGAAACGCAAAATGCAGCATATAAAGAACATAGGGGAGAGATTCTGAGGGTATTATTTCGACCCTTTTGACTATATTGATGAGTTTCGTGAGGATGGAGCTTGGAAGTACGGCTATGTGCTGGTAAAACCCTAGAAGACGACCAAAAACCCCCCCAGAAGAGATTAGCCGACTGAGTCCAAGACCCGAATCCGATTGGCGCCTGTTATTTTGGGCTTTAAGTATTGACGCGCACTTGTTCATCCCAATAATTAGTAAATATGATGTGGGGTAGCCACTTTTTAAAGTGCTATTTACTTTTTATCCATTATTTTTAATGATGAACAAAAGTAGCCAATAGTCTATTAAAATTTAATATAAAAAGACGGTCTTACCCTATCTTCTATCTCTTTTCCTTCCAAGCCCCTATCAAATTTTCAAAATCCTTTCTTTCGATCAAAATTAAATTGTTAAAGAAAGCAGGACACACGTAACAGTAGTTGATTCGAATTAACGTATTGTGATAGATTGCAAAAAGTGAGAGATAGAAATTAGAAACAAGCAAGCTTTCAGTAATTAGTGAAACTCCAATTACGATACATGAGTTCCAGATTTAAGTGGAGTTGCTAAAGTGTGAAGATGTTGCTAAAGATTTTGGGAAGAAGACTTCCAAATTAGAAGAAGAATAGTTCAAAAATTAAGGACAGATAGTCCTGAATTTCGAGTTCCAAGTTCAAAAGTTAAGGACATGTAGTCCTGAACTTAGAGTTACAAGTTCAAAAGTTAAGGACATGTAGTCCTAAACTTAGACTTACAAGCTCATAAATTAAGGGCAGTTATTCCTGAACTTACAGTAACAAGCTCATAAGTTAAGGATACTTGGTTCTAAACTTTATGAGTAGAAGGGTATTTTCGTCCGGGAGGGTAAAAGTTTATTAAAGCAGTGGTTAAAGACTAAAGACATTTTAAACAGTGGCTTAAGGCTAAATACATGTCTTATTACTGGCTAACCGTGCATTTCTCCCCAATAATTACTAGTGCGTAAAAATTGCAATCGCCCTTTTTAACTTATACTCGTTTTATTTTTCATTTGCATCCGTACCCATTTTTTTGTTACAAGCGTTTTAAAAAGACAATTTTGCTCTTCTTTAATAAAAGATTATTGACAAAACTGTAGATTGCGGGACAAAACTTCAGCGTGTTTTGGTATAAAGTTTTAGCAAATGAACTAAATAACTTCAACATGCATTAGAAAATTTTCATTAGAAAATTACATACTCCAGGACAAAAACTTAAGCATGTTTAGGCTGAAGTTTTAGCAAATGAACTAAAAAACTTCAGCTTGTTTAGACAGAAGTTTCGGATAAAACTCAGGACAAAACTGTAGACTGCATTACAAAACTTCAGCATGTTTTGGTATGAAGTTTTAGCAAATGAACTAAATAACTTCATCATGCATTAGCAAAAACTCTTTAGAAAATTACATATTGCAAGACAAAAATTTAAGCATGTTTAATCTGAAGTTTTAGCAAATGAACTAAAAAACTTATACATGATTAGTCTGAAGTTTAGCAAATGAACTAAATAACTTCAGCATGTTTACTCTGAAATTTTAGCAAATGAACTAAATAACTTCAGCATGCATTAGCAAAAACTCATTAGAAAATTACATACTGCAAGAACTTAAGCATGTTTAGTCCGAAGTTTTAGCAAATGAACTAAAAAACTTAAGCATGTTCAGTCTGAAGTTTTAGCAAATGAACTAAAAAACTTAAGCATGTTCAGTCTGAAGTTTTAGCAAATGAACTAAATAGCTTCAGCATGTTTAGACTGAAGTTTCGGATAAAACTCATGGCAAAACTGTAGACTGCAGTATAAATAACTTCAGCATGCATTAACATGAAGTTTTAGCTTCAATATGAAACAACTTCACGCTATATTAGCATGAAGTTTTAGCTTCAACATGAAACAACTCCATGCTACATTCGCATGAAGTTTTAGCTTCAACGTGAAACAACTTCATGCAAGTGTGATACTGAAGATGAATCTGGACAAGTTTCTGATTTTTTGATAAAGTTGCTGAGAGGAGAGGAGGAGATCTTTTTTTCACGAATGAGGTTGCAGATCACGCGATTAATGCGTGATGCAAGTTTTATATCTTTTGTCAAGGGTGTAACTGTCATATTATTACAGACTTTTTGTCAGTCGGCTACCAAATAAATAATTTTTAAAAATAGGGTACAAGTTAAAAGGTAGCACAAATATAGGATACACCTGCAAATCCCCCAAAATTAGCTGGGTTGGCCACTTTTTCGGGCGGCTATTAGAGTTTAGTCATATTTAAATTGTAATGGCAAAATAGTTACTGATTTAATTAAATCGACATATTTGCCCCCAGTTAAATACTAACCAGAACTCTAGCAATCGGTATTGGAGTTCGAAGCTTTGACAAGTGGAACCCTAGTAAAAGTAAACTATGTTGGAATTCAAAATTTTGTTGAATTTTCAAACTTAAGAATGATTCCTAATGTTTTTACCTTTATTAGTGCAAAATTCAAGAATGATTCCTAATTTTTAAATTTTTACTAGTACAAAATTCAAGAGCAATTCCTAGTTTTTGAATTCGTAGTGTACTTCACCAATTTTTAACTTTTACTAGTACAAAATTCAAAATTCATAAACGATTCCTGATTTTTGAACAGTTTACTAGTGCAAAATTCAGAAAAATCCATGAACAATTCATGATTTTTGAATTCACATTATACTTAAGCAATTTTTAACCTTTAAATACAAAAATTCAGGAAAAACACTGATTTTTGAACTTTTACTAGTGCAAAATCCAAAAATATACAGGAACGATTTATAGTTTTTAAATTCACAGTATACTTCAGAAATTTTTATCCTTTAAATACAAAATTCAAGAAAATTACCGGTAACCTTTGCTAGTGCAAAGTCTATGAACGATTCATGAATTTTCATTTCACATTATACTTTAGTAATTTTTTATCTCTAAATATAAAATCTAGGAAAAATTACTAATTTCTAAACCTTTACTAATGCAAAATTAATGAAAATCCAGGAACGATTCATGATTTTTGAATTACATTATAAGTCAACAATTGAGAGCTACTGCTTCAGGCAATTCAAACTCTGGGAACAATTTCTGAATTTTAAATTTATAAATATTCAAAGTCTAGTAGTCATTCATGGAGTTGTTACGTATTTTAGATAGGGGTATTTTTGTCTAGACTTGTATTTAGCATTAATAAGCAGCTACTTTGTCAATACAATTTAAAATATAGCTAAACTGTAATAGTCGATCTAAAAAGTGGCTATTTACCAAAGATCATCCAATAATTACACTAGTTATTCTCCTAAGGGACTAGTCTTTAAATAGTATCCGTTTTTTATTTTGTCACAAAAATAGGCTTCTTTTTTACTAAGAATACCATAGTTATTCAATATTAGAAGCTTTAAATTCCTGTTTGTGGGTAGAAACTAGAAGTTAATGATTGATTATTGCTAAAGTTATTTGAAAGTTGATAAATTTTGCTTAAATTTTTAGTTCAAACACCAAGTTAGTGATTTATTATAAAGATATTAAAACATTATCGTTGATCCTTTGACAAGTGAGTCTCCTTGATTTGGTGTTGTTTGACTAAATTGATGATTGAGGATTATTTTGTGTTGGTATTTGAAGGTTTTATTTTAAATTTGAGATCATTCGGAGTAAGTTTAGAGTGGTTTGAACGAAATTGGAATTACAATTTCCAAGAACATTGTTGAACAACACAGCAAAACTATGTCAATCATGTAGACTTTGATCAATAATTTAACAGGTAGGTCAAATGCAGATAACACAAAGTCATGCCAACCTAGTAAAGTTTGGTGAACAATTGAACAAGCACAAAATCATGCCAACTAGGTAGAGTTTGTAAACAGTATAACAAATAAGTCGAATGATGTTAATACAAAGTCATGCAAATATGGTTGAGTTTGGTGATCAATTCAACAATCACAAAAGCCATGCCAGTCGGATAGAGATCGTAAATAATTAACAATTAAGGTAGAGTAAATATACCATAAAATCTACCAATCTGATAAAAAAAATCCCTGATAAGAAATAAGTGTGTGTAGGTCGATGGTCATTTTCTAAATACTTTCGAAATGACAAATATATAAAGACCAGTCTCTTACAGGGCAATTCCTGTCAAGCACTTATTTTTCATAGTTAAGGTGCATTTGCGCAAATATCCTCTTTTGAAGTCACTGTTAGATTTTGACCATATTTTGAGAAATTATGCAAATACAGACATAGTCCATCGGGAAATTACTCCTTACAAACAACGCTAGATTTATATTCCATGTTTACTCATACAATTTATAGTTTGCACATAAAATATTAGATTGTGGTATAAGATTTATAATGTCTTGCGAAATTTTAGATAGAAGTCTAACATTCTCTCATAATGTTTTCAGTTTGCTAAAAAAATCTTTAGACCATAATTTAACATGTCCATCAATTACAAAAGAAATAAAAATAGAGTAATTTACTGAACAAAAGGTAAATAACATCAAGTCTAAAGTTATCTTCTCCACAAACTGCTACCGAGAGGAAGTAGATAGACTAGTCAGGATATTGACCATTAAACCCAGACTCTCTTTTGGTAAGTACCTGGGCTTTTCTATCTTTCACAAAAGACCCACCAATAGAGAGACTATCAGTTTATTATTGATAGTATGTAGACTAAGCTTGCATGCTGGAAAACCCATTTCCTAAATATGGCTGGGAGAATATATTAAGAATTCAGACCCATTTCCTCTCTTGGGTGCATACCTAGCCATGTTATGCAATATATTAAGCTCCCAGCTCAAACCAAATTGACAGAATTCAGAGGAATTTCATCTGGGGTACCGCTGCAGCTAAGAAGAAAATGCACCTAGTTGGGTGAAAAATTGTGACAAAGTGCTTTAGGAGTGTACACGGCTGAAACAGAAACATTGCCACCCCACACTGGTCTGGCCTGGAGGATGTACAACAATACTAATGTCCTGTGGGCCAGGGTTCTGTTCCACAAGCACTGTACTAGCACGAACCCTTCTAGGCATGTTGCCTCTAGGACTTGGCAAAATATCAAAAATGGTTGGTATATGTTGTAGTAAGGCTACTAAGTGGGTAGTACATAAGGGGGATAAAGTTAACCTTTATGGTGACAGATGGATC